TAATATAAATATATTCCACATAATTCTTCTATATGTATCTAAAAGCTTTGAGTACAACAGCCTATGTTTTCCCTTAGGAAAATCTATTTTACAGTTTCAGTTTTCATCTAAATAAATGTATCTACAGGTTATTTAAAGGTAAAATGCATAAACTTACTTTTTTCTTAAAGTTGATTAAGAAAAGAAGAAGCTGCTGTCTTGTCAGGGTGAACAACAGTTATGATTTCCTAAGTACCTGCCAGAGGAGTGACAAGCTACTGGATTTGTTGTTTTACGGATGAATCCAGGTGGGAAGGACAGCACAAGAACATAACTGCCTCTCTTTGTATGCGTGCTGAAAAACAGGAAAGGTTTCATGCAACGCGAGGTATGAGGCCCTAAAGATAGTTCTTATTTAGAAACTTTATTTTACTTTAAAATAACTTTGTTGTCCAGTTAAACTCTTCCACCTACTGACTCAAAACCACTGGATGATGTGCTTGCTTCATATAATTCACTTGAAACACAGCCAACTAAGGCTCTGTAGCTCACATCGGTGCAAAGACAACCATCTCTTCTCAATTGTTACTACATTCATATTTGATCATCACAAGAACAACCCATATTGTTGTATACAGTCTTATCTCATAGTCTCATTGTGGCCACTACCAACTGATCTTTTTTTTAAAGCGTTTTTTTAAATCATCCTGGTAAACTTTAGAAATAAACACAATGAAATAGCGCCTTAAGCACAACGAATGATCTTCTGTTTTGACATTAGCAGTACACAAAGTGGACATGTGTCCTTGCAATCCGCCTAGGTAAAGATTAAATGCATTAAAAATCACGCAGGCCAATAGCATGCAAAAAAACTGGGTTTTTGAAAAAATAAAACAGCTTTTTCTGTGGGATTTTGTGTTTAAGCCGTTAGCAATGGCAGTGATGTACAGAAGAAGGCCATCAGACACATTAAGCGAGCTGCAATGACTTCAGAAGCAACTTAAGGGGTGGTTATACTCCTGCGGCAGTGTGTCGCAGTGAGCTTGTCACAGATATTTTTGATTTATGCCCATCATTGAAGCATTGTCTGCTCTATGTTATCCCATGCCACAACTCAAGAGGGACTATCACAAACTAGCTGTGGGCCAAGATAAAGCCAAGGCAATGAGGATGTGGGGGCAAGGTAGTGCAACAACGGAGGGACATGAGGGAAAAGAGAGCGGGGATCCCGGTGGAAGAGAGTTCTAGCGTTCTCTGGCACCTTGCTCTTCTAGCTGGTCCATCTTCATGAGTCGTTTCCACAAACAAACACAAACCAAACAAGCCTGTAAAGTACCAAACAGGAAAGTTAAGCACACCGGCAAGTTTTCCTCTCCTCTAGCATTTCATAGTGTGCGTAATGGAGCGCACACCTTTGTGCTCTCCATTGTCAACAACAACAAAATACTGTACTCTAAAGTGTTTTAACAATATAAAACTGTGTGTGTATGTGTAAAGCTAGCTTTGGTGTGGATAGGTTGATGGAAAACAGAAGACCTACCTGACTTCAAAGAAGTCCAAAGATGCAGCTTCCACAATTAGTATTTTGGTAAAAAAATACTTAAACCTTATGTTACATGTGTATCATCAGTGCTTTTATGCTTTCAGTTGGCTTCATGTGTTTTACCCATTTCACATGCGAGCTCCTAATGTCTCTCCTGCAGAGAAAATATATTTTTCGGTTTATCCAGGCAAGTAAGAAGAATCCTGCTACCGGTATTGATAGTGTCTCCCACGTAGGCTCCAATCCACTTTGTGTACACCTTTGGAGCACACTCACCAACCTGGTTGTGCCATATGCCATGATCATGGTTTTTGGACATTGGGAATCAGTGCCCATATTTCATGTTCTCCACAAAAATGGAGGCCGAGGCCCAAAAGGACCCAGATCTCCAGAATCATCAAGGATAATTCATCATGGTGACAAGGAAAGATGGCTGCTAACAGCGAGATGGTTCGAACGTTTGCGGCTACAAATTCCTTTTCTTTTTTTTTTTTTTTTTTTTTTTTTTTT